TCATGAGTTATTAAATTTGTTGCTTACCAAATACTATGCGGGTGTAGCCCTATACATGAAAAATCGACGGGCATAAGTTTAGTTTATGTTATTTTCACTGAATTTTGTATATAAAATTTGAAATATTGTCGAAAATGAAATTAATTGATATTTTAAACCCCCGCTTTATTCAAAAAGGCCATTTATTATTTCGTTCATTTTTTTTTATTATTGCTGCCGATCATATGAACCTTCAATTGGCTTGATGCTATTTCCCCCTTTTCTTGTTTTATCTTCTCAAGAAGTGATCGAAATCGCTCCCACGTTCTCTGAACGGCCAAATGCAGTTTCCGCAGGTCGGCTTCGCTGCAAAAATTATACTGCTTATTTGTGTGTTCAAATGCAGCGGGTAAATTCATTTTGATTGAGAGCACTCGTGCTTGGCTACATTGTATTTTATTAATTTTTAATGATGGCAACTGACATTCCTTAGTCTGATATTTAGCGGTGCAGCGGATGTTCCATTACTCAATGTTTAAAGCCAGGGCGCAAAGGGCAGAGAGAACGGAACGAGCTCTTCATGTAGCCAGACGGGGGTCATATACCTGTACAATCTTTGCATTAAGCTTGGTGTAAAAAAGTGGAGAAACTAAAAGCCTGCAGAGACATTGAGTAACTGCTTTCGCTGCCTTCTGTGCATGTGGGAATCCTTGCTACTTGGCGTCAGAGATGTCGATCAATCTTGAACAAAAAACCCAACACTTATTTTTAACTGCACGCACTCGTTCAAACAGAAGGGCCACCGTCTCAGGTTCTCGCTTTGGCTCCAGTTTTCGTTCTGTCCGTCTCGACTTACCACGCTGTTGAACTTCTCGGGGGCATCCGACCGCTGTGGTACAAAGTTCAGCTCGCCCCCGCGCTCGATCGTCTTCACAGGCAAGCCGATGCCGTTGTCAAAAAGTTCCAATATTGCGCTGCTCGTGAACTGGACTATTTAAACCACAACAACATATTGTTTTACAAGTACATCTTAAATATATTAGCGTTAATTAATAAAAGTGGCTATTTATCGCCATTTGGTGTTTGTGTTCTGTAAAAAATTATTTTCGCTTCATGTAAACTCAGCCCGTTTTCCTCACTTTTTTTCTGCAAACTGCTTTTCCTTAAAGAAGGGCATGTGATATTACATATTTTTGATATACACGCTGACAATAAAGAACAGGCGATTACATGGTTATTTGATCGCACGCGACAAGACGCATCATGGATTGGCGCCCGTGCCGGATGCTTTCTGGGTGCAACGAAGATGGGCCTATAGCGCGAAGGGCCAGGCGTGCTGTACGTGCCTAACAAGCTGTGCATAGCACAAACAGATATATGACCCCGGTCTAGCTACATGAAGAGCTCGTTATGTTTTCTCTGCCCTTTGTGCCCTGGCTTTAAACATCGGATAATGGAACATCCGTTGCACCGCTAAATATCAGACAAAGGAATGTCAGTTGCCATCATAAAGAATTAATAAAATACAATGTAGCCAAGCACGAGTGTTCTCAATCAAACTGAATTTAACCGCTGCATTTGAACACACAAATAAGCAGTATAGTCTTCGCAGCGAAGGCGACCTGCGGAAACTGCGTTTGGCTGTTCTGAGAACGTGGGAGCGATTTCGATCACTTCTACAGAAGATACAACAAAAAAAAAGGGGGAAATCGCATCAAGCCAATTGAAAGTTCATATGATCGGCAGCAATAATAAAAAAATTGAACGAAATAAAAAATGGCCTTTTTTGATAAAGTGAGTTCAAAATTTCGGTTAATTTCATTTTCGATGATATTTCAAATTTTATATAAAAAATTCGGTGAAAATAAAATAAACAAAAATTATTCCCGTCGATAGCCCATGTATAGGACTACACTCGCATAGTATTTAATAAGTGACAAATATAATAACTCATGAGTTACAAGGCTCTGAAGATGTCACCCGATTGTCAGAGAGACGATGTTTGGCATTTTTTACCTCAATAAACAAAACTACGAAAGTATTTTCCTTTGAACTAAAAAATAGTCCAAACAACATACAAGAGCACAAAAAATTACTGTGAGTTTTGCATGCTTCCCGTATTCATACCAGCGTACAGAACTGGGTAGAAAAATCACGCAGTAAAAAACAGATTTTCACCCTGCTCCACTCAATAATTTTTTGTGAAGCGAAATATTTTTTAAAAAAATTTTGGAAAGCGGTTTTGTTCTTTCCAGAAATGGGGCAATTACATATATTTTTTCAAAAAAAAAATCGAGAGACCCAGCTTGACAAGCGTGTTCGATTTCAAATGAAACCACCCAAAGAGTTAATGGCAATTTGTTTGGCACTGCGACTTTTTTTACAGAATGGATGTGCATGCCTGACAGGCTGGGCAGAAATTTAGTACGCTACTCACAATCAAAGTTACGCTGCAAGACTGCAGCGGCATCTTTTGCCATGCAGTCGGTGCTATAGCTGTCATGGGATTCTGGTGTCCTCGTCACTAGAGCACATGTCCTCGCCTTAGACTTCAGTAAATTCCTCAGGGTCGTCGTCATAGCATGTGACAATGTTTGTGTCCAGTATTTCACAGTTCTCTCGCATGTGGCGGGGTCCACCTCATTAAAGAGTCAGTATCAGCAGTGTCGCCTTCCTTTTCAGTGTCATCTGCATTGATCCTGCAATAAAGCTTTCTTAGCTTGATGGTGAAAAAAAAAACTTCAATATAGAGAATGTCTGCTGTGGGCCTGATTCCTACATTATACACCTGTAATGCACCATTTGGGTATACATTGAGAGCATGCACGGGCTATACAGCAAATCTACCCTCTGAGCTCTTGTTTTGTAAAGAATTGGACTCATATCTATTTAAATTTTTCTGTAGGGCAGTTCATACGCTGTATGCTAGCATAAAAAGGAGGCTGCTTAGACACTGGCTGTACTATTGTGTGTTGCCTTCTGGCATAGGGCTGGTCCCTATACCAGGGAGAGTAATATTTCTGAGGTATGCACATAGTACATCCACATGATCAGGCTGAACATCCTACAATGGTCCTGAATGTCCAGCTTCATCATCCAGATTGCGTTAGTGGTACGTTTTCTGGGGAATCATTTTGCACTGCACAGTACATACTTTCAGTGTCGGATCATAGCAGATATCCACTGGATATGTTAAATGTCCGGACAACACATCTCTCGGATGTTTAATAGACTGTTGCTGGTTGACTGGGTACCATCAAACCAATGTGCACCGGGGCACCTGTTGCCAATTACCGCCATTGGTTTTCGCCCCCTAAATGCCATCAACCCAATGTGCACAGGGGTGTCTGTCGTCAATTGCCGCTTATTGGTTTTCGCCCCATAAATACAATCAATCCTATGTGGACAGGGGGGCCTGTTGCCAACAGCCGCTCATTACTTTTTTCCCCATAAATACCATCAACCTAATGTGCGCAGGAGCATCTGTTGCCAATCGCTGCTCATTGGTTTTTGCCCCATAAATTCCCTCAATGCAATGTGCATCGGGGTACCTGTTGCCAATTGCTGCTCATTGGTTTTTGTTTCATAAATGCCATCAGCCAATGTGAATTCCCTAAAGGATTACCAATTGGTGCACATAGGTTTTTGTTTCAAAAATGCATATTGCTCAGTGTGTCTGGACCTACAGTTGCACATTGGTTCAATGTGAATTTTGGCCTAATTTCACTTCGCCCATTTCCAGCAGGGATGGACATGGAAGTGAAGTGCGTCATGTGCGCGCAGGGAGCAGACGAGACGGCGGAACACGTCATACTGGAATGCACGGGTATAAAGCCGGACGTGACGTACGAACCAGACATGGCGGTGGCGCTGGGTTTCCGGGGCGTTGACGAACAGTACGACGCCGATAGCTCGCAGCCAGTGGAGGTGACAAAGAGGAGACTGGAGTGTTGGTGGAGGAGAGCAAAAGAACACAACTACGTTTTTGGCTAGTGTAGCTACTAGCCAGGCTAGATCCAGCGCTGCTGAGATCCCCCGATACAAAGGGGTTAGCCCCAAATCCAATCCAATCAATCCAATCCAATCCAAGCCGTCAAAGCCGCCGAAGTTTTGTTGCGGTTTGGTATGGCTTATTTTTACGTAGAACTCATATCGATCCGATATGCCGCGTCCGAGAATGGAATTTGCGACTAATAAGTGGCGAGGCACCACGCGAGCAGGAATGAACAGCCCTGGAGGTTGTGGGCACAGCTCAATCGGCTCATTCCTCGGTGCTTCTCAAAGGTAAGCCTTTTTTCTCTGTGTACTCCTAAGCTTCCTTTCAAGCATCTCTTTGGTTTGTTTCCTTGCCCTGCCTTTGCCTAATCGCGCTCGAGAAGTGTATTCTGACAGGTATTTCCCTTAGGCGAGCATCTCTCCTCGGGCTTTTCGTCAAACCGTCCGACGGGCTGCGAGTTCCAATCGCGAGGCCATGATTCGGTCACCCAACACGTCGGTCGACTTGTCAAACGTTTTATCGCACGTGGGTCGTCACTTCGCGTCGGCACGCATCGCTGCGTACCCATATCTGTACTGGCCAGGTTTCTTTGTCGGCCCGCGCGTCTTATCGTTGTGGGTGATCTCAATCGACGCGAGCGAAACTCGTAAAAAAAAAAAGAAAACATTGTGGTTGGAGCTTTTTCATTTTTCATCTACTGCGCTATATATATATATATATATTTTTTTTTAGATTTGTGTGAGGTTTTTTAATAATAATTTCGGGGGGTCAGGGTCGGGTCAACAAGTATAAATAAGATGTATATCCCACTTGAAGCTGTGAATGCCGCTCGCTGTCATAATCCTTGCTTTATATGTAGAGTCGGGGCGGAATGGGGGGCTCGGGCGGCCGGTCGACGGTTCTCGGGGCACCGCCGGCGCTGCGCTGGGGTTCGGAGCGCTCCGGGCTGGGGTCCAGCACATTCGAGTAGGATGTGTTCGGCCCTAGCTTGGCGGTTGCCGGGCTTAGGCGTGGCGCTGGGGGCCGTCGGCCTGCTGTTCGCGGTTCATTTCCGTTTCCGACTGTGCATAGTGTTGTTGTTATTAGAGTTGATTGTTTATCTCCTTCTCTCCCCCCCCCCCTCCCCGCTGTCCTCGTCTTTTTTTCTTCAGTTCATCTTTTTTCCTTGTGCAACAGCAGACTGTCGCACAAGAGCGACATCTTTTTCATCCGTGGTGTCACCTGAACCGTAGAAAGACTCGCTTCTTAGTGTGGCCCGTGAGGCTGTGCGCTTTCCGCTGTCTGCTTTCACAAACACAAATACGGTGATGTACCCAGAGTGCATCGCTCGCTAGCCTTGCGTGAGTACACTCTATATGGTATATGTTGTTAAAGTACCTTTATGCATAGCTGATCCAACCTGCATTCTCTTTTGCCATTGCCGGTAGCAAATTGTGTCTGTTTAGTATTGCATACCTGCCAACTTCCCCGTATTACCCAGAAGTCTCTTAAATTTTGATCAGTTTGTATGATTGACAGAAAAACCTCCCGGAAAAGAGAAATTACCCTCCCCCTCTCTTCTGTACTAAAGAAGAGTTTTTGCCATTACTGTGGACGCCTGCAATCCCATGAGCATAGGCAGTGCAACATATAAATGTAATGCAGTTGTCTCCATCAAATTTGCTGTCAATATTTCTTTTTAAAGCACCAGATAATCCCCCCCTCCCCTGCTTAGAAATTATCCCGAATTGGGTGTCCCCAAACTTGGAAGGTATTGTATTGTCTGTGCCTTTTCTATCTTGTGTGATTTTTGTAACATAATATATCTGTTCTTCACATTCATAATCGCTGCAGGCCTGGTCAAGGAGGAGTTGCTCAGTGAACTACTAGTTTGAGTTCCCTGAGACGACACCACTGACATCACCTACAGTGCCGAGGTACAGGCTTAATGGCAGATATCAATAGGAGTTGATGGTAAGCTCTCCTATTTATTTAGCAGTGTTGGAGTAACTAACTTGAGCTTTCATCACTGTTTTCGCTGGCAGTTTGTTGCCTGCACACAAAAATTGTCCATTAATTGTCCATGTTCATTCAAATTGATGCAGCCTTCACACTTCTGCGGTTCAGAGCGATTCGCAGACATATGTCGATCATAGTCGAAACAGCGTGGCTCAACGTTAGAGTTGAATGCTGAGTTTCGCTTGGCAGCTTTTTGGCCACTTCGGTCACTACAAAACATTATTTGCCTTCTCAGATACGCGTCACGTCTGTTTAGTTCGACAGCCACCGAGTTGACTCGGATGTCAGCGGTTGTTGTCATCAGAACCTGGTTCTTGTGCTGCCACATCATTTTTGGTGGTGGCGCTGTCGTCACCTCCAACGCTTACGCTCCCCGTGTTCCCATTCAAGATGGTGAGTGGTATACTCGTGGGGGCCCCGCTGCTGCAGGTGCTGCTATGTAGCTCTGGCTCGTGGTGGCTCCACCGCCATCATTTGTGCTCCCTGTGATCCCAGCCGGAGTGGTGACAGGGATTATGCAGGGCTCTTTGTCGCAGGTGCTGCCACAGACTTCGGCTCGTGGGGGTGCCGTCGCTACTGACAAAGCTTGTGCTCCCCGTCGTCCCTGTTGAAATGGCGGCTGGAACTTGGAGAGGGTTCGCTACCACAGCCAGTCAGTTCAAGTTCCGCACATTCTGTCGTAGCCCTTTGGAATTCGTTCCTTCCATGTTGAGGTTCTAGTAGGAGAAGTCCACCGCTGTTGAGCTACATGTCACCACAGCAGTCAATCTGCAGAAGGGCATGGCCACGTGACCACACTTCTGAAGTGTTAGAGCCTTGTTGTGGACATGGAGGCCGGTGTGAGAGATTTAATGTGCGTCTGGCACATCTGCCCGGCGAAAGAACTCATGGGTGTGCCACATGGAAAGTGAGCAGACTGTGCAAGTCTCTTTTACAAAATGGCGCTGTCAATAGGTAATGTCTGAGTCATTCTTGTCTTACGTAGGTGATACTTTCTAGGCATAATGTGTTAGTAGATAGCTATGGTGTTATTGCTTAACTCTGAACAAGATACAAAGAATGAGACATTTTCAGGCCAAGTAAAAAATTTCGGCTCACTTTAATCTTGAAGAGCTTCCAGAGTTTCACATCATCCAGCAATCCTGAAGGCGATGCACCACATGTAATTATAATTAATATTCCCGCTCTTAGTTTACCAGGAAGGTGTTCAAGAAATTGTAGGTAGTGTTAGTTGCTTAGAAGAGCGATGTGTTTTGCATTCAGTCTTGCACCTTGGCGTTCCATTCACTTTGGAATGAGGTGCTTCATTCTTGTGCGTCCTTGGTTGTTTCCTTAGCCTGTAAAGGTGTTGGAGGTTTGTACGTTTTATTTTTGGGAAAACCATGTGATGTTAGTATCTGGCATGTTCTTTTTTATTGCTGAAAGCTGTTTGAAGTGAGCCTTTTGTCCACCTAAGAGCACAATGATTGGGAGCTTCACTCAAGTGTGTTTTGTGGCCACACCGTAGAGCATGATTGAAAGCATCGATGCATGCTATTGATACCAAGATCGGGACTTCAGAAAGGATCAGTCAAGTCTTCCTATTTTTATTTCCATTGATTCATTGGCATTCTGGATCTCTTTTTGTAAGCGTGTTCACGTAAGCTTGTTCAACTTTCTGGGTCATAGTATCGGGTCGTTCTGTAATTATCATATGCGTTGTGCATTTGTCATTAGTCTCATCTGCAGTTGTCATGGGCTCATGGCCGACATATTTGGTGCTTCTTTGATTTGGAGGGTAGATATTGTCCGCCATATGTCTAGCAAACTTCATATATCCCACCTTCAAAATTTTCTCATAGACCTGATTACTAGGCAATAAGCTCCTTTTCAATATGTGCATTTACTTAAATTGAAATGCCAAAAGGCTTTTAATAATCAGCCACATGCAGAATAAGAACGGTGTTTGTACCACGTAGTGTGGGAGAAAATGGGGGGGGGGGGGTGTAGGCCAAAGCAAATGCAAGCAGTGTGAATACAACTCTAGGCGGGGTAAGTGAGGAATTTGAACTGTCTACCAAGACCATGTAGCTCACACATTTAGCAGAGGATAATTGGGTTTGATTTAACAAGCTATTGGGGTGGTTGTAAAGCTCCTATACAGCCCCACATGGAGTCACCCTGCATGCACTTACCTAGACTGCTCGTTTCACATAGATTTGTGTGACTTATTGATCTAACTGCTGCTTTTATTTGCAATTTTTTGTGTTATTCAGGATAATTGGGAACCCAGCAAAAGGTTGGCATGTCATGGAGTAAACATGCCATCGTACAGTGTGCTTCACTCTAAAATGTAATGCATGAGCAGTGGCCAAAGCTGATAACACTTGTCTAATGAGGAAATAAATGATACTGCAAAAACTGAAGCATATCTTCCTGGGACCGTTCCCACTCCCCTATACAATTATTGCATGACCTCCTTGTTTCTTTTTTTATTGCCCTCAGTTAATTTGACAAGGGCTGGATTGCTGTTATCCTTAATAGGTCGGCGTGTCGTTTATCTTGAGGTCCAATTAACGGGAAATTTGTTTTGATAAGTTAAATAAGGGAAACAACAAAATGTTCAGAGCAATGTCTTTTTTTTTGCATCACCGAAACATTTATTGGTCACTGCATTGAAACTAGGAGTGTAACGCACAAAGAAAACTGCAGTGTGACCCTCCAGTCTGTGCCGTCAGACGATGCACACATTCTGCAACATAGGTGCAGGATCAGCTTTTTTTTTTTTTTGGGGGGGGGGGGGGTTGATTTTTGTGAGATGACATGAAAATGTTGTGGTCATCACCATCAAATTGTTTGTTGTCTGCATGTTCCCTGCTTTAGTGACAAGGCCACTGACAAGCCGCTTCACTGGTACTAAATTGAACTGCTTGACAAGTTGCTTAAACAATAGTGATACACAAATGGCAGTACGAGGACAAGTGGAAGAACCACAAGTAGTGCTTGTCCTATCACTTCTTCGACTTGCCGTTGTCCATAGCATTATTTGTGTTTTGCCCCTCTTCACTGCTCTTCATCTGCTTCATAAAGAGCAAATAAATAAGGCTGCTTAATAAAATGACACCGTCCGTTAAATCTGTAAACATTTCTCTGTAAAACATATTGCCCTGGCCAAGTCCAAGTCTCGTCGTCATGATGAGTCGCATAGTGACTCGGCTAACAATGGTTGATGAATTGGATGTAATTCAACTGAATCAGTAGCATACTTCAATCTCTCTCTGCACAAAGCCTATGTTTCGGAGCGATTCACATAGTGTTTTCTCGACAGCCGAGGGGCTTGAAGCAGGTGCTTAATGTCTGTGAGCTTCCACCATTGAAATTTTAACTTGTCACTTATTCTAGAACTTGATAATGGAGCAATGGCAGATTTTATGAAGTTTGCGAAGCCGACGTCGGAGACCTTTGACTTGGGAGAGGTTTACAGGGCTAGAAAAATAATGACAGCACGTCCTTACTCACAATTATCTGTAATAAAAAGACGGTGCCCAAAGAACTGTAGCTAGTTTTAAGTGTCACTCGCTGAAGCGGTTTTTATATTGTGTTAATTCCTGCATTTTGCTGTTCTGTTTTCTGTTTCAGGATCCAGTGTTACATTCCTGTGGCTTTTTGGTTGTTTCCCAATTATTGAAGGGAGTTGCAGGCTTATCATGGGCGACACAGTGCTTTGGTGAGTGTACCTTTTATTTACTGCTTGGCCAATCAAATCAAGTGGCTTTGAAGGAAACTCTCTACAGTTTCAGGATGTTTGAGGATGTGTTCTCCTTCAGACATTCTGAAATGGCACAAATTTTTTTGTGCTGCATCACTATGCTCTGTTGAATGACCAGCTGAAAGCGTGGTAGATGCTACATGCTCGTTGGACCAGTCATATGTCTACCTTTCGCCATGTATTACACTCCCGCCCATAACCATGTGCAGAAGGCGGGGTCAGGTAACAAGAGAGAGGTGGTTGATTGATCCAGTGGGTGCGTAGTTACCACCACAGTCAGCTTAGAGGTGAATGTTAATTACTCAAGCTTTAAATAGGTCACAGTACTCAAAGCCTGAGGAACACCTCAGAAGTTTTTAGAATGTTTTTATTTACCGTGTCTACTCGCTCCATGAGTCTCAAACTACGACCAACTTGGCTAGCCACCAAGCCAATTTTCTTTCGCCGCCAAGCAGCCAGGCCACTTCAAACCAGGCAAAGCATAGCAGTACATGCTTTCTTGGCTGCAAGTGTGTAGTTGCGGATGTGATCAAGAGTGAAACCGAGCGGCGCATACACGTAACAAAGCTGGGGTCGAGGAATTGCCCAGCTTTGGACATGTTTCGCCCACCGAATGCATTGATGTAAACAAACACGCGGTCATCTGTGGTGTGCTTTCGGACAGTGAAATCGTGAAAGTGGTTAGGCCTAAGGACGGTCGCGTCACTCTCCATGCTGAGTGAGCTTCCATAGTAAAAAAATCTTAAATGTATAAAAAAGTTTGATGTCCAACAAACGCATATGATCCAATAAGATCATATAAGAAAATACAAGAACCTTATAAAAACACATAAGAACAATATAAGATTATATTTGAGGTTATAAGAAACTTCTTTTCTTATATATTTCCTATACTGTTCTTATATGTTATTATAAGGTTTTTATATGATCTTATTTGGTCATATGCTTTTATTGGACACTTAAATTTCTCAGACATGCTAGATTTTTTTACTATTTACAAGAAGGGTGCTTTTCCTTTGACAGAAGGCACACTGAAAGCACCCTAAAAAGGTCTTCAAAATATAGAACATGGTTATTGTAGCGCGCCCACGACCAGCCGTCAATGCGCCTCCGTCAGTGGAGACATGCCACAGTACTTTGCCGTGTCATACTGCCACCTAAAATCACTATTTTGCGAACTGTGTAGATGCAGAAATTTACCCTGCATAATGAATGCACCCCCCAAATATATGTCAATTTCAGAATAAAGAGGTGTGTTCATTATGCAGGTAAATATGGTAAAAAAAGTGAATGATGACTCAAACAAATGCAAAACTCATACATTGGCATTTGAAAAAAATCACCAACCACATCCTACAACAAGGTCCCAACGTTTCAAAAACAGCTTGTTTTTTTCTTCAGGGGTGACTGCTTCCAGATAGGGGAAAACAGCTTTGTTTTCTTCTACGATAGTCTCTTTTTTTTCACTTTGTTAGGTGGCTGAGTCCGTTCACGTAGCATGATGGCAATGTGCCAGTGGACCTATTGATGTTTCCTGATGTTGTTTGGATATGCCGTGACTAAAAAGCTGCTGGCAGAAGTTTGTCTCAACATTTATGAGGGCGTTGGCAAAGTTGATGCAATATTCATTGTTCTCACAGTGCTCTGCAACAGCGCTGCGCTCGTGGGTCGAATTTGCAGACATTGTTTTTGTGTTGTTGAATTCTTTCTGGGAAGTTCTTTGTTTTTCCAATGTAGGTGCCATGGAATTGAATATACAATGCCCTGCACTCTTTGTTTAGTGGGATGACCTTTAATTCGCAGCATCATACGTCAAGGTGTTGATACCGGTTCGTGGGACACCTGAATACTTTCTTTTACCAGCATACATGACAACGCTTTGCTAGTCCCCTTTATGTAGGGAACACAGATGCGGGTGTGTGGACGGATGTTTTTGAGTTTTTAAGCTTTCTCCCGACCAGGCAGGCCTCTGCCAAAATGTTTACACCTAAAACTTGCACTGCATGTAGTAATGGCTCTTGGTCTGCGAGAATTTTTGTTTTAGTTTTGTGTTTGTTGAGCATTATTGGGCAAATGACAAAGGCTACGCCACCTCATTATGACCACAGTAAAAAGAGCTATACACTTGATAACATAGTCCCGGCATGTTTTAGAGCGCAGCTCTTAGGGGCCCGTTTCCGGCTTGAGCGGCGTCGCCGTCGCCGTCGCCGTCGGCGTAACCGCGCGGTGCATCATGGGAAATGTCCCATAATGCACCGCGCGAGCCCCCCACCGGGGTCACGTGACCTCGTGGGGGGTCACGTAACCCCCCGAAGTCACGTGACTCCCCTGAGGTCACGTGACCCCCCGAGGTCACGTGACCCCCGCCGATGTCGCGTGACCCCCCGATGACGTCATCGTCACTGATGACGTCACCGGCATCCACATCGTCATCGTCATCATCACTGATGACGTCATCGGCATCCACATCGTCATCGTCATCACTGATGACGTCACCGGCATCCACATCGTCATCGTCATCATCACTGATGACGTCACCGGCATCCGCATCGTCATCGTCATCATCACTGATGACGTCACCGGCATCCACCGTCATCATCACTGATGACGTCACCGGCATCCACATCGCCATCGTCATCATCACTGATGACGTCACCGGCATCCACATCAACATCGTCATCATCACTGATGACGTCACCGGCATCCATATTGTCATCGTCATCATCACTGATGACGTCACCGGCATCCACATCGTCATCGTCATCATGACTGATGACGTCACCGGCATCCACATCGTCATCGTCATCATCACTGATGACGTCACCGGCATCCACATCGTCATCGTCATCATCACTGATGACGTCACCGGCATCCACATCGTCATCATCACTGATGTCACCGGCATCCACATCGTCATCGTCATCATCACTGATGACGTCACCGGCATCCGCATCGTCATCATCACTGATGACGTTACCGACATCCGCATCGTCATCGTCATCATCGCTGATGACGTCATCAGTGACGTCACTGATGTCGTCACCGGCATCCGCATCGTCATCGTCATCATCACTGATGACGTCATCAGCGATGTCACTGATGACGTCACCGACAATCGCATCGTCATCGTCACTGGTGAAGTCATCAGTGACGTCACTAATGACGTCATCGGTACCCGCATCGTCATCCTCACTGATGACGTCATCAGTGACGTCAGTGATGACATCATCGGCATTGGGGGTCACGTGACCCCCAAGGTCACGTGACCCCCCTGGTTAGTTTAACCCCCCCCCCCAGTGCCCTTCCCTCCTCCTCCTCAAGAGCTGCGCTCCAATTCGGCGTTACAGGGAGTTGTAAGCGGCTTTCTTTTTTTGCTTTGAAAAACATTTTAACGCACAAGATCAATCTATTTCTTAATGACTGGGGATCCATGACCAAAAAAGTTTTTGTTTCTATTTTGTCTATATTTTTTTGTACGAAACTTTTCTTGTGCTACCGTCATAGCTTTAATTTCTAAAGAAATATTATTTCCGATGTTAGGGGATAGATGGTGCTTCCTCACGTACGATAAAAAGAGTGAGCGTTTAAAGACGCACTCCCAAAACTGACTGAAGAGTGGTGCATCTATGAGTGCGCCCCCCAGGTTGCTGTTGAAATTGCCATGCATCCAAACATCTTATCAAAAGTAATAGATAAATCTTTGTCTAAGGTGAAGTGAATATTTACATTAAATTCAAGTGATGACACAATAACAACATGGCAGTGCCCACAAGCTGCATGCGCATGAACGAATTTCATCATCCAAATGGATGAATGACCGTTTTGGCAGAACTGGGCAATGAGGAAAAGGGTACCAATACTTGAGTGTAGCTTTCTAGGGGCTATTATCATTTTAAATTGCAATTCTCATTTGCTCTTTTAGCTCGCACCTTCATGGAGTACGGCAATGTTTGGAAGCAAGTCGAGGACAGCCTCTCTCGATTTCTGTCCCGGGGGCACTATGGTCTTTCAGGTAAGCTGCTTCCCTCTCTTAAGAGACACAAGTAGACCCTTTTATTCAAGACAAGAATGACGATAATAATCACTGGAAATGGGGAACAAGGGGGACAAAGGAGATTCCTCTTTGTCCTTTGTTCCCCTTGTACCCCTTTTCCAGGGATTATTATTGTATTCATACTTATTGCATTATTGTGGAGTTCACATTTTGACAACCTGTGGTTGGCTGATGTGTTGTGGAAGTTAAAGCTATTGCACATTCAAACATTGTGTGAAATACAGCAGAACCCTGCTGCTGCATCTTTATGCGGTCACAATAAAGAATCATGACATGAGCAAAGATGTAACAACTGATAATGCCTTTGGGATAGCTATAGATGTTTCAGGAAGCTGTATTCTCTGTTTATCTCACCTTAGCTTTTATGGCTGAAAAAGATTGCCTTATTTTATATTTTTATAATGCAATTAAATGCAAAGGTTATATGTTGACGATTTTTTCAACAGTTCTTAAAATTGTGGTTGAACTATAAGTAACACACTGTTTACAGACAAGCTTGTATTTGCCCACAGCAGCTATGGGCACTGCATACGCAGGAACTAGATTCGTGTGAGTAGACATGTCTGTACATGTGCTGTGCCGACAGCCGCGCCATCGCAGTGATGTGTTGTCTATAGTTGCAGTTAAAAAATATTGAAATATAGAGATGCAAAATTTCTGAGCCCATCCAGCTAAACCACAGCTGCCTCAAACAAATCACTTCACCCTGCATGCCAGATCAGAGCAGTGGAGCTTGATGCAATCACCACTGCTTGAACATGGTGGCATGGAGGTCGTAAAGCAAAATAGGGTGTCGTGAGAGCCTGAATCTCTTAGCGCCATACAGGACCAAGCAAGAAACACAATGCAGAGAGGCAAGGAGGTGAAATAAAGGCAATAAAGCAAAAGGAACAGGGTATGTGTTCCTAGTAGTCATACCTGCCACCTTGAGTGGCAGTGTTTGGGCATAAGAATCAAGAAGGAAATTCATGAGGCCTGTAATTTTAACATATATACTTTTGGACGTTCGATAGGACCGGTGTCCGTGAACATAACAGCCGAGAAAACATGTGAGCAAGGTTCTTCTGTGCATAATATTGAATGTGCTGCAAGAATATTTCTGGTTATATGCCCACTTAATTTTTGTTTTTCTTCTTTCAGCTCACACCTTACAGACATGTCAGGAAGCAAGGAAAGGTCATTTTTTCACTCATCGTTTACATTTGTCTTAGTCTTTTGAAAAAAAAAACACTAGTCATTTTAATGACATTGTGATCAATAAATTTTGGGTCTTTAAATTGTTCTTCAATCTTTGTTTTCTTCCCATATTGCAAGCCGGCACTATGTGTATCAGGCATGGGATCAATGGTAGGCCATGTAAACTATTGCAGTTTTTCGGCTGGCCAGCTTAAAGTTTACAAGGGGTTGACAATGGCAAAATGGTCACGAAAATCGATCAAATGACGTCTATGTGATCATTATGCCCTTATAAAAATGGTTAATGCCATTTTGTATTATAGTCAAATGGCAACAGGTGTTTACAAGCAGTCAGTCAGCAGGCAACAGATGTTAATCGTCATTGAGATGTCATCTTGTTGACCCGGATAGCCATTTCGCCACCGTCAACTTTTTGCCGTTCTATTGGTTATTGTGGGTGCATTGCCAGTGTATCTACATGCTAATGCTAATTGGCTATTGGAGGCACTCAAAAGACTATAAAATTTATAGTCCTTTGATCGCCTCCTTTAGTCATTTAGCGTTAACATGTAGATACACTGGTGATACACCGACAATAACCAATAGAATGGCAAAAAGTTGACGGTGGCGAAATGGCTATCCGGGTCAGCAGGGTGACGTCTCAATGACGATTAACATCTGTTGCCTGCTGATTGACTACTTGTAAACAGCTGTTGCCATTTGGCAATAATATGACTTTCAAATGGCATTAACCATTTTCATAGGGGTGGCAAGCGCTTGGAGAGGGCCCAGTGGAGACCACGTGACATCCAACGCAATCATGACGTAGGTCGTCTCAAGACGAGCAAAGCTATGGCGAGGCTGACATCGGGAGGATGGCCTAGTCGTTCCAGTCACCGAAGCGGCTGCTTTTGTACGAATTTTGAGCGACGGGTTAATCTTCTATAATCTTGTCGGGGGACAATAGCGACTTCTGCAACACACAAAAGGCATTCTCGGGAAGAGGGGAGTTCCTCCTTCCCCTCTTCTCTCGTCGTGGCCGGAGGTGAGACAACCTCCGTCACTAGCTGTCAAGGTTCCTAGACGAGCATTACAAACGAGGCGTTAGCGACATCCACCAGGTGCTCTTTGCTAATCGTTTAATTCGTTTTAATATTCCTTTTCAAGACTCTTTTAAAAAGATATTGGTATGTTCGATGTGATACTGCTCCTCTGAACACATATAGACCAAAGAATGAGCGCCGAAATTTCGTTGTAGTATCCCTTAAAGGGATTGTCCGGTAGAATTTTGTATTTGAGAAAACAATTGGATATCATTGTTCTTGCCTCGAGACGCATCGTACGTGCAATATCTGAATTTTATATTCCCGTCTGCATGAGCAATGGACCTTTCCCACATACCGACGGCACCAGGCGGTGGCTGCACGAACTAAAAATCGAGGAAGTGACCTAGCTGCGCTACCAATCGATAATGGGAGCTACGCTACCAGTTTCTTCGCTCTCTGAGCAGCGGCGCCTGCCCAACGCGACTCTAAAGAGGGGCATCCGTGACGTCCACCCAAACGTCGTGTTTTCCTTTCCGTCGACGTTCTTTTTTTGTGTAACACAATTATATATATGCTGCAGTTACGTGTTCCACTCGCTGATATACAGCCTCCTTCCGAATTTCCTCGATTTTTCGTTCTGACTTCCGCCGCTTGGATTCGGGCGCACGCGCGTGCGCAGAACGCTTCTCGGAAAAGGTCCATTGAATTTCTACTGCTCCAGTCGCATCCTAGCGTAAACACTGCTTTCGTTTGCAACATTGGAGTTCTGATGTCGCACAACGCAACGCAATCATTTCTGTCTCGAAAAAATTGTAATGGTGCAGGTAAGCTGGTGTATGTCGACCATGATGTTAAAATCCTGAGACTGGGAATGAAATTCGAAAGAAAAAGTGCAAGAAGACAGAAAAAGGGGACAGGACAAACGGAGCTGAGTTTGAGACGCGTGTCCTGTCCCCTTTTTCTGTTTTCTTGCACTTTTTCTTTCAAATTTCAACCCCAGTCTCAGGATCTTAATATCATGATTTCTGTCTCGTCGTTGGCCTGCAAGTGAACGCCGCAGTGTGCTTCGTTTTTGTTGTTGCGCTCGACTTGTTTCGTGGATGGGTGAGATTTTCGTTGCGCGGTTGGGTGCCACAACCACCGGACAGCACATGCGAGCTGAGACGTGACATTCCATACTTTTCCGCGAGACATGCAATGAAGAGCAAAATGGATCGTCGCCGTGCGTAGGGAACCGGGTTCCCGTCAAGATTGAGATCCCGCTTATGCAGCAATCATCTCACAGAAGAGAGCTACGAGCCGAGCTCTAAGCGGACAGAAGGCTTGTAAGCTGAGGTGTGAGGCTGTGTCGACAATATTTATTTATTTATTTATTTAGGGATACTACCAGCTCCAGTCAAGGAGCTATAGTAGGAGTGGTTCCAACATAAACACAGTACACACAGCAACACCAAGCGAACATTAAATAAACACGTTAATCGTAGCGTTCCGCAGCCGCTATAAAAGCATGAACAGAGGTTAAGGTGACAATATCATTACTTAGATTATTCCAGCCGCGAATTGCCCGAGGAAAAAAAGAATACCGGTAACAGTCATTTGTAAACCTGTATTGCTTTAAAGATCTAGAGTGGTTTAATCGTGAGGACCCGGACAATGATGGCTGTAAGTAACTGGTGCTATCAATGTGAATGCTGCCATTTAGTATGTTATATAAAATTTTTAACCTTTCGACATCGGCCCTTTTATCCAATGATTGAAGCTGGGCCCTTGCAAGTAACTGAGTGGGGGATGTATTCCTGTTAAAGTTATTATATATAAATCGGGCTGCTTGCTTTTGAATACTTTCGAGTTTGTTAATACCAACCTTTGTGTAAGGGGACCACACTGATGAGGCATACTCTAAAATTGGTCTTACGAATGCTTTGTAGGCTATGAGCTTAGTATCAGGATCGGCAAATTTTAATTTCCTTCTTAGCGCAAACAGAGTACCTCTTGCTTTGTTGACGGTCGTTTCCAGGTGCAAGTTCCAGTTTAGCTTGTTATTGAATATTAATCCAAGATATTTGAATTCGTTTACCCGTTGTAATGATTGACCGCTGAGATTGTAACTGAATAAAATTGATCTTTTTTGACATGATACTGTCATAACAGCTGTTTTATCATAATTTAGTTTCATTTGCCATTGAGTACACCATTTAAATATTTCGTCGAGTGCTTTCTGTAACTTATAATTATCATCCAGGTCACCTATTTTTTTATATATTATGCAATCATGAGCAAACAAACGCAGGGGAATGTCGATGTTATAAGCTATGTCATTAATGAAGACTAAAAACAAAAGGGGACCAAGTACAGACCCCTGAGGTACACCGGACGTGACAAGAAGTTTGGAGGAGTCAACTTTTTTGTAATGAACATATTGGGTCCTGTTTGTTAAGTACACCGTGATCCAGTCAGTTATTTGAGAGTTTTTTAGTACATTTGAAAGCTTGACTATTAGTTTTGGGTGCGAAACCTTATCAAATGCCTTTGAGAAATCCAAAAATACCACATCAGTTTGTCCCCGCTCGTTAATTGTTTCTGCCAAGTCGTGAGTTAGTTCAATTAGCTGGGTTGTGGTCGAAAGCGATTTTCTGAAGCCGTGCTGTTTTTTATATATAAGGTTGTGTTTGTCCAAATAACTTGCGATGTGTGTAAAGATGATGTGCTCCATTAATTTGCATGTTGTACTTGTTAAACTATGTCCATCCACTCCTCGCCCAAATCGGATCAATTGGTTTGATTATGCAGCGAAACCGAAACCAACAGCTAGGCCATCTGGAAACGATGCCAAAAATTGTATTTAGCACGCGTGCAGCCAGATTCTATTTGACTCGTGTGTGAAAATGGAGCGTGGCTACGATTCACCAAGCTCGTCCAAGTCAAGTGACAACATGCACAAATAGTCTCCCAACAACTGAAGTTTTTCCTACAGACTAAATTTTAAAGAGATTGTATAAAATGTTTTTATATGAAAGCTCAAATTCTACAAAAGTGGGAATCTCTACTCCAAAACCAGTTGTTCCCTGCTACAAGAACTGCTCCAAATCGCCATTTGTCAGTTCCACCCCTGCTTTTGTTATCTTAAAGTGCGTGCAAACAATGTAAAAAAAACGAAAAAAACTGCCCTTGTCTACTTGCTTTCACTTATATTTGGACGTAATATCGGGACGTTTCATTTTGTTATGCTAGCTCCTGTTTTGGGTTGTCTTTACCTATTCAGGAAGGCACCTACTAAAACTCCTTAAAGAGAAACTTCAACGAAATTTGAAATGTACCCGTTGTTCTCAGAAATAGGCTGAGTATGATCCACGATATCTGTAAATGACAATTGCACGTTTGTATTTTGAGCCTGATGGCTGTATTTTTCATTATAAACGGCGGACTCTGTCAAGCGCTCGGAGAGCAGCCAGCGGGGAGCACGTCACATCCGGCGCAATTGTGACGTAGTTTGTCGCGGGATGAGCAAAGCTGCAGCGAGGCTGACGTCGTCAGGACGCCCTAGCCGTTCCAGCCACCGAAGCAGTCGAAGCATGTCAGCGATCGGGCCACCGCAACTAACTGAAGAGCTACTTTTGTGTGAATTTTGGGTGACTGGTTATTCTTCTATAACCTTGTAGAGGGAGAATAAGACATGTGGGACACACAAAAGAGTCCCGTTGAGTGGGGAGTTCCTCCCTTCCCTCTTCTGTTTTGCTGGCCGTAGAGCTGTGGGGATGGCGTCAGGTTCAAAGCATGTATAGTTCTGTACCCCGTTTCACCTTATGTTGTACCGCAGCGAAGGCTAGAAGCGCGAGCTCGTAGCATTTGCAGCTGCCCTTAATGCGCGAGAGCTTGTGCCGACGAGATGTGCCCCGAGCAAGGAGCTCATGCTTGTAGCCTTTCCTGCGGTACATCATAAGGTTAAACAGAGTGTAGGCGAGACAGTTATCTTCACTACCTGTCAAGGTTCCTAGACGGGCATTACAAACGCGCTTTTTGGGCGTGTGAAGCAGACGACA